ACAAAATTTAAAAGAAAGATTAAATAGAATATCCAAAAAACCCCAATAGACATTGACAATGAGATTTAGAAATTAAATTAAAATTAACAATTAAAATTAATAATTTATTTTATTCAGGCCAGGCCGGCTTGCTGGAAAAGCCAACTTTTTAGGGTGCATCGGAAGGACCGGAGGTCGGGGATTATACAAAGCATAATCCCCAATAATTGGCATGTTTGTTAAGTGAATCACTGAAGTTGTTAAATTTGTAACACAGTTGTTAACTGAATCTGGCTTCCCCATTGAGTTTGTCTGTCAGAAGGTTGCAAAAGGCAATCACATAAATGTGAGTCAGTTGTCAAGCACCCAAATGTAAATCAAGTGACCATGGAGATGCTAAAGGGGCTATAGGTATGAAAAACAATCATAAGTCACTTTTTTCAGTGATTTGTAACTTTGAACAATCACTAAATGAACTGTTGTAAGTCAAGGATGACCAGTACAGGGGAGGTTTAATATATATTACACACATCCTGTTCCCGACCTCCGGTCCTTCCGGCGCACACTAAAAAGTTGGCTTTTCCAGCAAGCCAGCCTGGCCTGAATAAAATAAATTATTAATTTTAATTGTTAATTTTAATTTAATTTCTAAATCTCATTGTCAATGTCTATTGGGGTTTTTTGGATATTCTATTTAATCTTTCTTTTAAATTTTGTAATATGTGTTTTTATGTTGTATGCTGCCCTGAGTTCTTTGGGAGAAGGGTGGCATATAAATCCAATAAACCTAAACCTAAACTTAAACCATTACCACCTGAAGGTAATTATAAAAAATAAATAAACTTACTTTTAGGATGAGAGTGCCATTTTCTTTTGTTCTTATAAAACAACTTGTCTGCACGCATGTTGGACAGCATTCACCAGGGTGTGGAATAAGAGAATAGCCCTACAGAGAAAGATATACACAATTGTGATGTTCAAATAGGACTTTAAAATGATTTAATAAAACCAAGTATTCCTATTCAAATTCCAGACAGCCATTGGAGCCTTTCTTCAGTGCTCTGTTCTGAGGAAGGCAATCTGGTCCTTCCAGATGGAGCTGTTATATCTAACTAGCATGATCCATTAATGCCAACTGGTTGTTCAATTGCTTTGCTGTGCCTTCAAGACTGGCAGAAATAGAGTAGGTCAAGCTACCTCCAGCCTAGAGAGCAGATAGTGACTTATTTTCTCAATATCTTTGCCTAAGACTATCATAAAAGGCAGAGATTCTGGACTAATTAAGGAAGATCAACTGGTCTTCTGAGATCAGAAGACATCTCCTACCTGGGTAGATTTTTCCCACAAAGGGTAGAATTTTTAACGAATTTGTTGTCCATGAATAGCATGGCACATGTGATTCTTACCAGCAAGGGAGCCTCTCTGGTGCTTTTCTGTAGGGTGTGGTGTCTGTTTTTTGCATCTGGGCCAAAGAGGCCCAGGCTTATCTTTGATGCTGTAGCCTTGGAAGTGAGCCTTGAAGTCATTAGGTTAATATGAAGCTCTGGTGGTTTCAACAAGATCTATAATCTTGGTTGGGTAGGGCAGCCTATGAAAGAGCAGCCAGCAAGATGGGTATGGAATGACACAACATTTTTGTTCCAGGGCAGTGAAAGGCAAGCTCCTATTAGACACACTTCTGCTTTGCCCCAAATTCCCTATACATGTGGCTGGGCATTGAGACTAAAGGGATTGGGTTCCTGGCAAAGCAGCTTGAGGTCCTTGGCACTGCTTGTTATGACAGGGAGATTCTGCTAGGACAAGCTCTAGTTCAGTTCTTAAGTGAAAGAAGTCACAAAAAAGGCACAGTGTCTCTGAGCCAGTCTGTCCCCAAATGTATTCATTGTCACACATTATTATTAGAACCAGCTATTGCTTAATTTGAAATCCTAATTCTAGATATTTGGGGTTGCAATTCCTGTAATTCCAGGTGATCACAGTAATATGATTGATGAGATTGTCATACAACTTCTACTTGCCTTCCTTCCTCCATTCAACCACTTTACTACCAAGATTTCTACTTCCTCCTTTGGGACCTATCAACAATGTTCAATTCTCTTTTTTTGAACTGATTTGGCTTTCTTTTTCCACCTTGGGTTTCTTCCTTCCTTAATGATATTTTGTTCTTTATGGTTGACCCAAGATACTTTGCCTTCTAAAGGCAAAGGATGAAAATCTCTCTATTCTAGTTGCATGCATAAACTGATTGTTTTGAGGGGGAAATCTTGCTTGAATATTGGCTGCAGAATGACAGCTTTCAGTCCATCTGGGGACAATGTGCTAGCTTGGATGGGAAGACATCTATTCTGCTACATCCTCAGTGCTGTTCTCAGCTGAGCACGTCCACTGTCAGAAATGGCTACTTCACTCTATCTAACAGTGAAGCTTGTCCTCAAGCTTGGGAATGTCACGAATTAGGTTACAGGGAACAGTTCTTCCACAATCCTGCTTGTCCTCTTGTTTTTCCCACATATTACTTTGTCTGCTTATATAAGTGGAACTACTTACCTCCTGGCATTTCACGTTGCATGAGATAACATTACACTCTATGATATTCAGAAGAGTGGTGCTGTTCTGTTTATTTGTGCATTTACACTTTTCGCACTTGCTTCCTAAGACTTCTGAACCAGGCTGGAACAAAACAGGGGGATTCATTCATTAGCAAAGAATAAGGTGAAGCAGATCTGATGTAGTATCTTTGTTACAAAATTATTGAAACTCTGATATGAGAAAGGCCACTGGGGATTAGAGAATTTGCTCAGATTTTGGAATGTATTACATGGATTCTTAAGCCTCTAACCCTTTATTTCAATTCTTGCTATTTGAAATAAATTTGTCTACTTTACTATTCCCTTGTAATGGTGTTTGAGAATGACCTTCAGGGTGGGAAAAGCGATATTGCCTAGGAAATGATCAGACAAGAGAGGCAAGAGTCCCTAGTGGCTTAACAGTCAGAGAAAGAAATTTAGTTAATTGGATGGTCAAAAATTCAGCTAGTAGCTTGTACTTCAGATTTGCATAGGTCTGTTAATGTAGCCTTACAATAAAGAAGAATTAACTCATCTAATCATGTTTCCTATCTGGTTTACCCAGAAGGCTGATATCCCTTTACTATTAATCCATTTATTCTTTTGCCTCTTTTTATTTTGTTTCATAATGCCTGTTTAGGTAAGAATTGAGGATTCAATTGAACATCTTTGAAGGCTTCTCAGTCCCATTCTCATGACTGTCCTCCCACTTCCCATCACAAATTGGTCATGACAGCACTACAGCCCTATCCTCCACTTCATTTCTACAACTTCCTAATGGGGCTTATATATGCCCTTTTGCAAGCGCAGTTCTTCATTACTCTTCCTCTGTTTTGGTCACTTGCACTACCCAGCATGGTTGAAAACATTGTTCTGATCAGCCATTTGAGTCTGCAGAATCCTATGTCTCACTTTAAAGCATATTGTGCTTCTGAGCCACAGAAGAGCTTTGTCAATCAATGTTTGCCTTGGAGATAAGAGTTCCTCATTTCTTCTCCACCCTCCATCTCAAAGCCAGAGATGGTTTGGTTCAGCTTACTGCTAAACTAGCCAACAGTTATAGATACAGAATAGAATTCAAACCAGAACTATTTATTTTGGGAATCATAAACGATAAACATAACAAGGGGGTAATCTACGTAATAATACATATTATTACAGCAGCAAGAATGGTCTTTGCCCAAAACAGGGATAACAGGAAAATTCCACAAGAAGAGGAAGTAATTAGGAAAATTCTGGTTGTGCTAAAATGGGTAAACTGACGTGGGAATTGAAGAACAAAGACATATCAGAATATTATAAGATCTGGGATAAATTTTATTGATGGTTGGAACAAAAAAGGAAATACCAAAAATAAGCAATGACTAAGATTTATATAATGGAGATTAGAATGATGTATGAAATTGTACCAGTGAAAATATATAAGATAAGAACAAAGCAACATGGATGGAAATACAATATCTTTATATTTGTAAATACTGAATAGACCAATTGTAAATAGGCATGGTGGTTATAATATTTAATTTTATATTTTAGTATGTATGGCAAAGACATTGCCAGGACAGTTGCACTGTCCAATGTTTTAATGTGTGTTTAATAAAAAAAACTTTTAAAAAAACCTAGCAAGCAGAATATAATTGAAAACAACACTGCACAACTACAACTTCTCCCAACTGGCCAACACAATACTTCCAGCATAATCTGTTGAGGGGACTTTTCCAGTTTGTGGGCCACAGACTCACAAGTTTTGGTCCAGACAGAAACAAGTCCTGCTGTGCTCAATGGGGCCTATTTGCTTAAAAACATGCATAGAGTTTTCTACAGTATCAATTTCAATAAAATTTATTCCTAAGTAGATATGTACTGTGTGTGTCCTGAAAGACCTCAGTGCAAAAACAGGATAAGTGAGTTGGTTCTAAAAGCAGGTTAACTGACTATGTGCTGGAATCCTGGTTATCCCAGAATGCCTTGGGCATCTTACCTGAGGTCAGTCTTCTACAACTCTTTCCTTGGTTTTGCTATTTTCCGTGACGTGATGCTCACTAACTTTCAGTTATAACTCATTCTTGTTATTTACCTTTACAAACAAGCCTTCTGGAGTTGCAACTTTGATAAAAGGTAGGCTATGAGTTTGATTAAAAAAAATTTAAAAATCCCTCTTAAGAAGAAAGGAAAAATTTACCTTGTATTCGTTACCATCCTTCACACACACTTCTTTAGGATCTAGAGAAAATGATTGTTTAAAAATATTTGTCAGTACTTTATGCTCTTTGCTTAAAAGTAGCCGTACATTATTGTTGATATACTTTCTCTACTATGTAATGTTAAGTAAAGTAACAACACATTTTCTCATCTTTTCACCCCAATTATGGCATTTACTGAGGCCTGCTGACGATATCATTATTTATTTGTTTGTTTATTTATTCTGTACTGTGCAGTACCTTATGGATGTAGAATCTATGGTTATCCAAACAGTTTGTTTTAAAACCACTAGCGATCTCAACATGGCCAGGGGTGGGAGATTTGGGGAGTTAGAGTTAGAGTTTTATTGATTTGTATGCCGCCCACTCCTGAAGGACTCCGGGCGGCTTACAATAAAACAAGGGAGGGGGGATAATACACAAACAACATATTAAAATATACAACAGTCACAATTTCCGAGGGGCTGGATATTTCGAGAGCCCCCTGGCCTGCTGGAGCAGCCAGGACTTAACGGCTTTGCGGAAGGCCGGGAGGGTAGTAAGGGTCTGGATCTCCACAGGGAGATCGTTCCAGAGGGCTGGAGCTGCAACAGAGAAGGCTCTCCCCCGATGAGTCGCCAGCCAACATTGGCTGGCAGATGGAATCCGGAGGAGACCTAACCTGTGTGATCTAATCGGTCTATGGGAGATGATCGGCAGGAGGCAATTTGGGGAGATATAAGTGAACCAAGGTCTTCATTCCTAATTATCACCTCCATAGAATGTGCTACTGAAGTTCACACAAACTCAAAGTGGATAGGTATTATTATGTATTAATATTATGTATTGTTCAAATTAATACATAAAAACAAGGATGTATAAATCAGGTATATTACAGATGGCAAGAAAAAAGGCAAATTTATAGGTATAGTAGGATTTTTTTTTAAAAATCTGTGAGCAGGATATTATGTAGTTCATTGCAAGATACCTGTTCTCTAAATTTGATTTGCTTTCAACTGATAAATGTTAGGTGATAAAATAAATATTTTGTGGAGACAATTTTGATTGATAATAACTGGACATAATTCTAACGTAACACATTTAGGATCAAAGTCTCAAACTGAATTTTCCAAAGCCGTATTCATCCTTCCGAAGTTAGTTAAAAAAGACTTACTGCATTGATAAGAAGGACAACATTGTTCTTCAGTGGTGTTAGCAACAGCTATGAATCCTGGATCACACTGTGGAGGTTTGGTCGTACATTGAGTGGTGTTGCACACTACAATGGAGAAAGGAAAAATTCAACTTCCACATTGGCAAATTATCCTTTGTCTTCTAAGTATAATCTATTGCAGAATAAAGCAGCTGTATTCTTGGAAAGTCTTTAAGTTTAGAGACTCTACTACAGATTGAAAAAACTTTAATGAGAAAATCTTATTAAGTTAGCCTACTTTGTAATTTTATATATATAATGGCTTCACAGTACTCCAAAAGAAATGGAAGGTGACCTGTCCCCATTCTCCACATCCTACTTTTTCATTCAGACAGATTAGCCATATTTCAAGAAAAAGAAAAACAGTCTCCAACAATAGAAAATACAGTCACTTAAATGAAGTAAGATGTTTCAAATTACTGTACAGAATTTCACTGAGAACCCTCTAGTAAAGGGGAAAATCCAATATTAGAAATTACATTTGGTTCTGACATTTCCCCCTATAAATAAATACCTGGGCAATGGCTAGTGCTTTATAAATGAGTTGGACCACAAATGCACCTCACTTGAAATACAATTATATTTCCTACACTGACAAATTCTACCCTGGTTGCCCAAGAGAGATGACATTAAGAAATAAATGGTGGCCATTGTGGCATAATGGTTAGAATACAGTACTGCAGGCTAACTCACTGCTCACTCCAGGAGTTTGAATCTGAGTGGCTCAGGATTGGCTCAGTCTTCCATCTTTCTACGGTCAGTAAAATGAGGCCCCAGATTATTGGGAGTAATATGCTGACTCTATAAACTACTTAGAGAGGGCTGTAAAGAACTATGAAGTGTATATAAGTCTAAGTGCTATTGCTATCGCTAAATGTACAGAATATAGGTCACACAGTATCACTATGATTGACCTATGGTACACACATGGACATACTCACCACACACGATGTCTGAACAGCATTTCTCATCAGGATTAATTTGGGTGATCTTATGATATCCTTCTCCTTCACACTGTACTTCACGATCTGGTACTGGACACTTGAGGGGTTCACAGATAATGCCACTTCCACCTTCCAGGCAAATACAGTCTTTGCAGTCAAACTGAAAGGTCTCCCCATACTGTCAATGAGAAAGAGTAACTGGTTAATAGCGTAAGAACCTACAGAATATCAAGCAGCATTAACCTGATCCCACCTATATGCACCATTGAAGGACTATCATAAATGTTACAGGAATTTCTAGGAGTTAACAGAAGGGATTACTCAACTCATTAGGTAGGGGCATTGGGTGGTAAAAAACTAAAAATGGCAGCTCCATTCCCTTGACAGAATCTCAGAACCTTTTTATACATGATGCACATAAAAAGGGCTGGAGTTTTGATATTATTATTTATTTATTAAATTTAGATGCCACCTATCTCACTACCCAAGGTGACTTTGGGCAACGTATAAATTGCATACAATTTCCACCACCATCTTGAGTTTAGTAATCTAATAATCTGTTGACTCATTGAAATTCCTGTAAGATTTATAATAAACCTTAATATACGTATTATTACCCTAGCTGTCATCATCAATAGATTTTGTTTGTTTGTTTGATTGTTTCAAAGTCTTGGCACTCATATAATACTGGTGACTTTCATATAGGACAATGACTTTCTGCTAAGCAAAAGTCTGTGCATCCCTGATCAAGCTATCCTCCTCAAATTCTTCATCACATACAGTAGCTTTATTAGCATGGATAAGCTCTGCAAGTATAATGTAAAATAAAGCTGATGGGGAAAAAAGTCAGAATTCTATCATAAAGCAAACCTATTCCAGAAAATATAGAGTTCATTGTCAAACTCATGCATAAGAAACAGGCATGTTGCTTACCTCTCTGGGAATATTGTCTGGTCCAACACATCCTAAAAACAAAGATATTTCTGTTAATGCTAAGATAATTTCTATTATTTAAATTGCATTAATAAGAACAGTAGAGATGTAAATTTATGATTGCCAACTGAGAAATAAAGTCCATTAAGTTCAATGAGTTTTACTCCCAGATGCAAGCATATATTGGAGTACATCCTACATATGTTTGAGAAAAAGAAGAGTCAGAACCCAAACTTACCACACGTGGAAACACATACATCCATAGCAGTGTCATAAAGTTTTGTCCCATTAGGACAGAAGCACCCTTCCATTTGTTGTGTCTGGCTTTGTCCTGTTAAGCTACAACAGAATGGGGTAAAAGAATCAACAATTATTTACATATCTAACAAAAACTTACAGCTTTAATTAAAGATCCTTACATATGGAAGGACAAGTGTAGTATCTGTCAAGTGTTGCTTCCCAGAATCATAGGACAATTCAGAGGGCAGGAAGGAATATGTTTCTTATACTAAATGACTTATACTGTCATATTACCTACTAAGACTGTATTACTATTATTCTTCTCTTCCTTTCTAGTACCTATCTCTTCCCACTTATGACCATAACCATGTTGCTTGTGACTTTAAAATTTATATTGTTTCATTTGTTTCCTAGTATAATTTGATTGCTTATTAGTAACCTATGACTATCATTAAGTGTTGTGTCTTATCATTCTTGATTAATGTATTTTATTTTTCTTTTCTTTATGTACACTGAGAGCATATACATCAAAGACAAATTCCTTTTGTGTCCAATCACATTTGGCCAATAAAGAATTCTATTTTACTCTACTCTACTCTACTCTACTCTACTCTACTCTGCTCTGCTCTGCTCTGCTCTGCTCTGCTCTGCTCTGCTCTGCTCTACTCTACTCTACTCTA